CTCCATTAGACACACAGAAAGGTGCTGATAAACAATTTCCCCATTTAACAAACATTGACTGTTGGGAGTACCAGAAAGCCAAAATTCTTACTAGGCATTTTGGAACACCTCTCATGTACATCTTAGAGAACAGTTTTTCATGATTTACATAATCAAAAGCCTTTGAGGCATCAATAAAGCACATAAAGATTGTGGTATCGTGTCTATAGTAAAGATCACAGATTTCTTTCAGAGCAAAAATACACATGTCCGTTCCATGTTTAGGTTTGAAACCAAACTGATTATCAGACGTAAGTATGAACTCCTCCATCTTATTCAGAATAGCCCGCTCCAGTACCTTGGATAAGGTGCTGGCCAGAGCTATGGGCCTGTAGTTGTCTCTACTATTAATTTTTGCACTTTTATCTTTTAAGATTGGGACTAAGATGACCGTCAGTAATGACTCCGGTAAGACTCCATGTATTAAAAATCCTGTAAAACAAATAGCCAGCAGAGGAAACAGTTTCAGACTAGCGTATTTTAAATGCTCAGCTGAAACCCTGTCTGCACCACAGGCCTTATTTTTATCCAGCTTCATCACAATCTCATGGACTTCTTGAGGAGAGATAATAACATCTTCATTGTTATCAATATTGCCAACAGTAAAATAGTTACTTTTGACTGCATTAAAAATATCATGGTAATGTATCTGCCACAGCTCAGTAATCTGCTCTGTTCCATATACACCATTGATATGTGTTGGTAAAGACAGTTTACTGCTATTACTTCTTTTTATTTCTCTCCAGAAATCTGTGGGACTATTGCTTTGTAGTTTCCTTGCCAAGGAGTCTGCCTTGAGGCTATTCTCTCTCCTTCTAATAAATCGAAGGGCATATTTAAAGTTTGCATTTGCTTTCTTCATATACTCAAATACAGGACCACTCTTGGGTCTGTCAGATGCCACCCAAGCTTTAAAAGCCCTTCTAGCCTCAGCATGTATCTCCTCGACATACTCGTTCCAGCCTGGTTTAGCTTTAAAGGTGTTGGTCTAATATAGAGGTCGACTCGACACAAGAAGAGAGTCCACAATCTTGTCATACAGAGAGCATAAATCAGCTCTGTGTTGCATATTCTGACAATTAACCTCATTGCAGGTTACAGAGTTTTTAGGCAGCTCAATTTTACTTAACATTAATTCAGACCTAGTACAATATATGCAAATGTCCTCTTTAGTCAAGGTGGACCACTTAATTTTCCTTACATGTGTTTCGTTGCTCATACATACAAGAGACGGCACTTTGCCCATATTTACAGTTAAAGAAAAGGGCACATGATCAAAAGTGGCAAGTTCATAGTTAATCCTAAAAGACACAATGGAGTTATGAGCATCAGTAGTACACACACAGTGGTCGAGCCAGGAGGCGGTGTGCCATGCCTCACTAGTGTAAGTGTAGCTGTCGCTGGGCAAGAAAATATTACTGGAAAGGCAAAGGCCATTATCAGAGCAGAAGTGCTTTAAATGATTTGCAAACAGGGAACGCTGATCAGAAATGTCAGCATTAAAGTCCCCCACAATGAAAACATTGCTAGATGGATTGTCTTGAATATAAGCCATAATATAGGCTAATCTATTAAGGTACTCAAATTCATTGTCAGAGCATTCGTATGGTGTATATACATTCAGAATAGTGAATTTTTTATCCCCGCAGCAGAACTCCAGACCTATAGCCCAGTCTACATTCAGTCTGACAGCTTGGACCAGGTGGTCAAATTTCTTATTCCACAGCACAGCCACTCCTCCAGGAATTCTGCCACGAAGAATCCTGGTGCTACAGTCAGTAGTAGATTCCCCTGCCCCATAGAAGTCTTCATGTATGAGGTTTAACTTAATCAAGTCCTGCTGCGATAGAAAGGTCTCCTGTATACATAGTATGTCACAGGATTCAAGAAGCTTGTTTACCACAGGGCGGCGAGCTTTATCAGCATCCCCGAGCCCAACGCGTAATCCTCGTGCGTTGTAAGACGCAATGTTGATATTCATGGTCTATTTGGGTGAGATACAAGCTCTGGCTTCACTGATCGCTTCGGGAGCCTTGGACGCAGGCACGCCTAGTACAGAGCCACCGTGGGCCTCTCCTACCTTTTGGGCTAAGCTACCACGCTCTCTCGGTTTGCGAGGCTCATAGTACCGACGCACATAGATCCCCGCTGGCCAGAGTTGCGCGTCATACAGTTCGGCTACTTCATTGCACTCTGCTATTATATGAAACGAACCAAATCTGTTACTAGTTGACTCTATTTTCTTACAAGTCACTGGCTTACCCATTTTCTCAGACAGGTAGGCGCACAGAGTGTCAGACTCTAGATCAGGAGAGAATCGAGTAGCAAATACACTCACCAGTTTGGTTTTGACTACTGGGATGGTGCTCTCCGTACTGGTGCCAACTATTCCCATTTTCCTCCGCTGCTCCCGTTTTGGGCGGGGGTGTGCAGCTGTATTGGGCTGCATCGCAGAAGTTGGCCGCTTGCGATTTCCTTTAACCACCGTGCTCCATGCTGGGGACTGTGGCGTGGCATTCACGGTCTGGCCTGCCCGGCTCATCTTTCCTGGTATTTGAGCCGTGTCCGTTGCGTTCTCCAACTCTGCCGATGATAAGGCAGTATCGCAAGCTTGCAGGCCTGGGTCTCCGTGGGCTCGACCAGGTGGTGCGCACAGTCTCTCCAGAGCAGACACTCTATTCTCCATGTCCACCGCGGCCGCTTTTGCAGTCACACTTTTGCGTGTCTGCGTGTCCAAAGTTCCTCTCATACAGGTTACCTCCCGATATAACTGTTGAACTCTGCTGAGTAACGCAGATGCGTCCAAATGCTCAAATCCAACAGGGGGGAGTGAATCCAAATTGTGAGATACGAATCTGGGAATGTTGTCTCCACACTCATTAAGCACTTTTATACAGTCTTTTATGTTGTTGGTGTCCTTCTGCGGCCCTTTGTGCTTTACGCAACGTATTGATGTCGGGCACAATTCAAACAATACCCGCTTGGACTCTTCAATCCATTCAGAGGAGAAATTGTTTGATACCAGCAAAACAATTTCGTCATGAGCCAGTGTTCTCATTTTCACGACAATGAAATTTAACAGCTCATCCTCCACAAAAACTTTGCCATCAGACATTTCATATACACAAATCTTGGCTTTTGATCCAAGGCAACCCGCTCCTCCAGAACGCACAGCCGCGCCAGCCGCCATGACTTGTGTGTCCCTTGTGCAATCCAAAGTAAAATTAAATAAAAATACATAAATGAAAATAAAAAACTTTGCCTAGGTTGCTAGATGGAAGAAATGGTCGTGGAGTTTCCGACTTTCTTTAAATACCACATGGCTATTTTGCAGGCTGGGGTATAGGCTCCATCTTCAGGTACTCTTCAGGTAGGACAACAGAAGAGATGGTGCCCCCCTGTCCTTGTCTTTGTCACTGCTTGTATTCGTTGACAAAAGCCATTTCCATCAATATGTCTTCTTTAAACAAAATGTGTTCTTTCAGACTATCTTTCTGTTCCATGAAATAACATACAACCAAATGGCCGTTATTCTGTAGTCCCCAGAAACATTGTTATTTTGTTCAGAGACTCTGTGTTCTGTGAGTTCTACTGAATGGCCATTTGGTTTTATGTCATTTCAGTTCACGGAACAGACACTGTACATCACTGTACTCTTTACAAAACATTTAGGTTTCTGGTGAACTTGAATAACATTCAATGGAGGCCTTCAGATAAATATCACAGCCACATAAATCCTCAAATATCCCGCTGTGATTTAGTTTAGTGCATGTGTTTGTTTGTCTAAGAGAACATTAGTACATTCCATACAGACTGGCACAGACTGGCCGCCTTGGCTCCAGTATAGTACATATGAGTGGGAAAATCTTATCTAATTTGGTTGTTGAGTCCATTGATGAATTTATAGTTTCTTACTCGTCTGATTACTACTATTTAAATAACAATGATTTCTTTAGGAAAGTCAAGGTGAAATTTGTAGAATTTGTATTTTTTTAATCCAGATAAAAGTATCAATCACAACTTTCATCATTACTTCATCAAATCTTGAAGAATGGAATTTATTTATCGTTTAACAGGCAACATTTATTTACTTCTGTAATTCAACGTACAATGTGAAACTAATATTTAACAGACTCGCTAAACGCAAAAGAGGTTGTTATTTGTCACAATCCACTGATAATTGTTTCACAGCTTGTAAAAATCAAAATAAAACATCTCAGAAAGTTAGAATATTTTGAAAATAGACTGTATGCCATAAACGCCAGCATTAATTAATTCTCATCCCTTAATTAATTCATTTCTGGGTCAGGGGGGTGGAAGGGAGATGGCGGCTTCTTCAACGCAGATACAGCCTTGATCCTTCGGCGAGGACTTCATGCAAAGTGAGGTTAAGTGTTGTGGTGGGATCAAACCTACAACCATTAGGTCCAAAGACTAATGCTCTACCAACTGAGCCACTGTCATAAATACTTATATTATTAGTATTATGAAACTTATATTATTAGTATTATGAAATTAACTTTTGAACAATACTGTAGGACAAAATGCTTAGTTTCTCTTCATTATAATATATACATGAACATCAAATGAATGTGTCTAAATAAAGAGTGGCGTGTATTGCTCCCAGACACATGTGAAGAGACTTCTCAATAAACTCTGGAGAAAGATGACGCATGGGCCTGTCTGCGCCCTCTCCTCCCTCCCCTCCCCTCCACCCCCTCCACATGGACTGTTTCGGTCCTGTCTGGGGCCTCCTTTGGCGTCTGGTCCCTCCCTCTTTGCCTCTCCTATAAGTACCTCCCCTTTCCTCTCACTGACAGACACACTAAAGCCAGCACCAGCCCATTCACCACACAGGGGGCTAGAGGAGCTTACATAGGAATTCTATTTATTTTGAAAAATAAAAAATTTTTTGGCTCACAGCTGTGGAATTCTAAAGTCACGGACATCGGACGCAAACTATGGTGGCATACGATGAACTTGGAACGCTGGTGCCGATTAAAAGGACTTTGCAAGTGATAAGCTGCCAAAACCAAGCCAGCAAAGAACTAGAGGTGAGAAAGGGCTCGGAACTGGGAAATTGTATATTATTTTGAGATGTTTTGATTTGTTTGAAAGATTTGCCAATGGAATAAGTAGCTTTAGTATTATTTCAAGACCATTTCAAGTGAAAAACTGCATATATTTAAAGCATTTTAAGTTTTAGTTTTTTTGTTCAAATAATACCTTTTTCTATTATTCAAATAATTCTGTTTGTCCCAATATGAAGAGTCTTATAAAAGTCAAATTTGAAGAAGTCAATGACTCTTGAGGCTGGCCAACAAATTTATGTAAAAAGGAGTGATTACAGTGTACAATTTAGTTCCTGGTTTGTTTTATTTTGTACCCCAGCTTTAATACTAACATTATCTGACGTGTAAAGTCAACTTTTCCCACCTTCCTTAACTTGAGCATTGCCAAATTCCCTTCAATGTTTAACCAGCTGAAGTCAGAGTTTCGCTGAAGCAATCACAGCCAAACCTTGTACGTTATCAGTTCACTTTTGGACTTTGCCAGATATCAGTTCATCATGCCCAGCCTAGATACAGTACATTACATCAACCATTCATTTCCTCCACTTTACAAGAATGCTTTGCCTCCTATGGTTTTGTGTATTCCTGGTTTCCTGCCCATTTAATTATGCAAAGATTGTGAGCCACAGGGTGCACAAGTCAACTGTCTCCATTAACATATGGGCTAATGCCAGTCATATGCATGTATGCACTATCTGCCTGCAGAGCTTGTTAGAACGTTCACTTTTTCTTTGTTCTGTTTTTTACTGTTTTAGAGGAAGTAGAGTTTTCGAAAAGCAGTGACAGTAAGAAGTGAACTTTGGGAAATCAAAAATGTGTTTTTTATAGATTATATATAGATTATCAAACATATAGATTATATGTTTGTAGCCTACATAAGGAATTAATCATAACAAGCAGTAATTTTATTTGAACCCATGATATTTTAATTAGAATGCAACTTGCTAATTGTTTCCGGTTTGGATTTACTTCTTTTACCTGGTGCAGACTGCTACTGCTTCAAAACTCACTGCACACTGGGATTTGGGCTCAGAATGGAAAAATCTGGAGTCTAGACATTTGCTCACTCATAACACTGGCTTGAAATGTGATCCACAAGTCTGGTGGATTGTAAAAAGCATCCCGGGACAAGGCTTGGATTTGTCTGGCTTCCTGGATCGTGCTAGACTTTCCAACACTCACTCCAAGAATAGCATCATTTTCATTTGACCTCATTGTAATACGCAAGAAAGCAGGGCAGCTACTACTCTTCCGATATTGACTTTGGAATCTATATAAATCCGGGCTCTTGTCTGTGCTTTGTATTGCCTGTAGGAGTGTATGAACAAGGGCTGCACAATTTTGGCAAAATATCTAAATGCTGAATGGTTTAAGATATGCAGCGTTGCAGTCTTTGTTTTGAATGACAAGGCTGAATTTTTAAGTATGGACCTGAAGCAGATTTGAAATTGGTATCTGGATAAGAGGCCTTTTCGCCATCTTTTCAAAGGCTGGCAATTGCTAAATTGATCTTCTTCCAAAATATTTTTTCTTCCAATACTGCTGATCTTTACCCAAGTCCGTTCCATGTAAATGGCTTGAGAGTACACTCCTTATCCTTAACTGAAAATAGTTGGCAACCACTCAATAGTGAAATGGTGACTGTATATGGCAGGTCTAGTGCACGCCTCTTTGGACCACACCAGAGGGCTGTGTTTTTGGGAGCTTTTTATAGGTTGATGTTTGGAACAGCTGTTGTGAAATAACAGCTCTGTTCTGCTGGATTTTGCTGAAGCTAATAAAAAAATACAAAGAGGGAAAGAAGCAGCTTTGGTTGGGGTCAAGAGGAAATGTAGGATTATAGACTGGTTTTCACTGAGCAAAGCAATATTCCATTGCAGAAAGCAGCAGACAGGCAGTTGGAAATGACTGCCAGATGTCTGCTTCAAAGCTGGCAATAAACCGCAGCTTTCAAAATGGCCATGTGGACTTTATTTGAGACATTACGTTTCATGTAAGCACTGCAATTAACTTCAGAGCATTCTTTTTGACCATAAATTATATTTTAAGAATGATATTACAATGTGACATATGACTTTTTAAAAGCTTTATTAGTTAAAAAGCAGGCTTCTTCAGAATCTGAACATGCATACGGCTGTATCACTAATAGTTTTCCCAGGTACAAATGCATGTTAAAACATTGCTTGTTGTCTTGTTGGTGGAAGCAGTTGTTCATGCTTGCTGTGTAAGATTTATCCGTTTAGCCCCGGACTAGTGCAGTAAATCCATAACAACACAGCATTAGCACCTTTTACCCTGTCTGTGTTGGAGTGGTACATTTACGTCAGTGTCTTGTCTGGACAGGTTTCTTTCTTTTTGAGCTCAGAGCCTTTGCGTGAGAATGGCCTCCACCTGGGTTAGGTATCCCTCCCCCTCTCGTCTTCTGAAAGCTCCCGTCTTTAGCCTCGAGCCTTTAAGAAATGAGAGCGCAGTCTGGCAATGCTCCAACAACAACCAAAATCAAAGGTAATGTTTCAGCCGCAGTGACGGGACGCCTGGGAAAGGGTTCAGGCTCTTTCAAAAGTTCATTTCAAGCTCTGAGGGCGTGCATACCGACTGGGAAATATGAATACTCAAATTATAATAATATCTATGGTGTATTTCTAAAACAACAGTCATCAAAAGGCACCGTGCTGTCTATTCTTACAGCCACTGGGCCACTATGCCAGAATACGCAAAAATATCACCTTTTTCTTATGTCCTTTTTTTAAGTTTTGCAAGTAACGCAAATACAAATAAGTAAGGCGATATTTCTTTTATTGCCCCTTTCACAAACCAGAGTCACAGAGTCACGCTTTACAATTGTTGTGGGCATTTGTCCTCTCACTCCACACAGAGATGGAGTGGGGTCGTCATACCTGTTCGTCAGACCTATTGTGCAGGTTTTTAGTGTTAGGAGAAACTGTAGCACCAGGGCGAAACACTCCGCTGACACGGGGAGAACATGCAAACACCAAACACAGAAAGGCCTGGAGGTGGAATCGACAATCAGAAAGAATTAAAAGAAATACCTTCATACAATCTGAACATTTAGAATTGGTCTATGAATGTGTACATGCAGAACACAACATCAATAAAATGGCATTAGCATCCAAAGATCAAACAAAGCAATATTATTAATTTGCAATTGCTTTAAACCATTTTTACATGACTTTGTTAAAATTCAAACTTTGCTACGTGGTGTTGCAAATGTGTGACTGTTTTAAATAGCTGGCGTTTGCTCCTGACAAACTCTCTGAAGGTGTCAAAAAGCTCCTCGCAAACGGCGTTAGGAAATGTTGTCATGCCTGCCAAGTCACATCTGTGGAGGGGGGAGGGGGAGTGTGGGACAGCTGAGGACTTACAGGGTATTCCTTGCACGTTCTTCCAGTGTCCCAAAGCACTAGACCCGAGCGAACAACCTCCAATTTTGTTAATCACAAGAATAACTGAAATACAATATTGTAAAAAATGTTATTGCATTTGAAGTGTTGTGGCAGCTATCAATCAATACAAGCAGGATATGGTCAGGGTTCGGAGCTGTCTTTCACACACATTCCAAAGCACAGGGACAACTGGTTTTCTTACAAACGCAATAGTCGCTGGTTTCACCCGGATTATTTGCCAAACCTTGTCCAGAGCTGGTTCAGATCCAGCAGCTGTTGGTCCATGCAAGGTTTTGTCTGCCTCTCTGTCTGCTGGACTTAAACCGCATGCAAGTACTCATATTACAACGAGACTCCTACTTCTAGAATCAAACTCATGTGAGGCCAATGAAGTGCACTTTAGTAGGTTCCTTAAAGCAGTAATGCAAACTTTGAGCAAGATTTTTAGTTGAAAGGCGTAAGACAACTTCAATGTAAGTGCCATATAAGGTAAAATTTCTAGTACTTGGTCTTAATCTTTATTTGCATACTTGTACATAGTTAGTTTAGACATATCACTTTGACCTTATTCCATTGGTACAGAAAACATGAGTGTTTGGAGTTAACACTTTGCTCTTTTGTGTTCCAGGGACCCAGTAACAAGCGCGTCCGATCGCTCGGCAGGGTGACGTCGCTCGCTAACCTCATTTCCCCAGTCAAGAATGGGGCCGTCCGGCGATTTGGCCAAACCATCCAGGTGAGAAGGACTTTGATTTTTTTTTTTTGTGTTTTCTTATTTTACAAGCCAAAGAAGCAAAAGCATCTACTTTTTTCTCCTTGTGTCTGATTTCCAGGCCTCTTTTCGGGGCGATGGGAAGCCGGCAGCGCCCCACAAACCCTGCTCCAAGGCCACAGCCCCCACTCCTCCCAAACGTAGGAACAGCGCCCTGTGGTCCGAGACACTGGATCTGCATCAGAAGAGAACACTTTCAGCCAAAGAGATCAAGAGACAAGAGGTGGGAGCTCAGGAAAACAACTTAATCCAGGAGATGAGCTTATGCAGTTCTGAAAGTCTGTCTGGATCAATCGGTTGTGGTTCAAATCTTCCCTTTTTCGCATACGCAGGCTATTTTTGAGCTGTCCCGTGGAGAACAAGACCTGATCGAGGATTTGCAGCTTGCACGAAAGGTGGGTGAAGAGACTAAGATCAAAAAACATGGATTGAAATACCTCAGACTATATACAGTATATTTCACTCGGATATAACGGATCAATATTCAATCAAATTTGACCAAAATTGGTCTGTTGTGAATTGCACGCTTGTTGAAGCGCTGCTTTTTCACAAACCCATTTCAACGGCACGGTGGCTGAGTGGATAGCACTCTCGCCTCTCAGCAAGAAGGTCCTGGGTTCGAATCCCGGTCGGACCAGGGCCTTTCTGAGTGGAGTTTGCATGTTCTCCCCGTGTCTGCGTAGGTTTCCTCCGGGTACTCCGGTTTCCCCTACCACTAAAAATATGTCCAATAGTTCTGGTATGTGCCTCCTGTACTGGCGACCCCGCTCCCATCTCTGTGTGGAGTGAGAGACAAATGCCCAAAATTAACAATTGTAAACCGCTTTGAGACTCAGATCTGCAGTGAAAAGGCGGTATATAAATAAAAACTTACTTACTAACTTACAATTAAAGATCATTAAATTGTTAAAGTTCGCACAACTGCGTGTCATGTTTTCTGTGTGTCCTGACTAAGACCAGGGGGCCGGACCACATAACACCCAGGCACTTTGGTGCAGATGGCTCCTCAGAAGGCACTTCCTTCGCTGGTTACTCCAGCACCCAGCCATAAGTTTTTTGTGGTTTTACCACAAGTTTTATTTTTCCAATTCAAATTTGATTCACTTAACTTGAAGTTAGTAACTCTAACTTCAAATTATAGTTATATCACAAAAATGAAATCTCCCTCATTGGGGCACCTCCACTTGGTTATAGGCACTTTTACCATCAAACTGCTTCTCATCCATTTGGTAAAAGGCTATAATTAAAAAACTAAAAAACAAATTATTTGTGTCATTAGTGCTCATTAGTCATTAGTGCATAATCTTAAAATATATATTTTTTTACAATTACATTGCTTTCTTCAAGAAGTGACTGACATGTTTTGCTGTCTCTTCCCAGGCGTACCACGACCCCATGCTGAAGTTGTCTATCATGTCAGAGCAAGAGTTGACCCACATATTCGGAAACTTGGACACTTTTATTCCTCTGCACGAAGATCTACTAGATCAGCTGTCCAAGGCCACTGGGGCAGATGGCACTGTGGGGCAGATCGGGCAGATTGTGGTCAGCTGGGTACGCATCTGCATCTTGACAGCCATTAATTTCACAATATGCAATCTGAAAAAGTATTAGAATGTTTTTTACATTTTTGCCCCAGCTCCCGAGGCTGAACGCATACAGAGACTACTGCAGTAACCAGCTAGCGGCAAAAGCACTGCTGGATCAGAGGAAGCAGGACCCACGGGTGCAGGACTTCCTCCAGCGCTGTCTTGAGTCACCCTTCAGTCGAAAACTAGAGCTTTGGAGCTTTCTGGACATTCCACGCTCCCGCCTGGTCAAATACCCACTTCTACTGAGAGAGATCCTGAGACACACGCCAGCAGAGCATCCGGACAACGCCAGCCTGGAGAGAGCGGTGAGTTCTGAGAATACTGTTACGACTATTGCTACTATTACTGCTACTGCTGCTATTAAAGCTGGGTGTCAAACCGGTTCCAGAAAGGGCTTGTGTGGCTGGAGCACCCTAGACTCTACCCATTTGGTTGGAACTAAAAGCTGCTGGACTTTGAGTACCGGTTTGACACCTCTGTACTAATGGCTCTACTACTACTAACACAATGCCCTGTAAGCAACATGTTGTTCAGGATTATTGGGCATTTAAACCAACAAGTCCACCTGAACCTAAATGAGCTGTTTTTACACAGATCTGCGTGATCCAGGACGTGCTGTCTGAGATTGACCTGAAGAAGGGAGAGTCTGAGTGTCAGTTCTACATCGACAAACTGGAGTATTTGGACGAGCGGCAGAAGGATCCGCGCATTGAGCAGTGCAAGAGCCTGCTGTGCCACGGCGAGTTGCGCAGCAAAGGCGGCACGGTGTGTACTACAGACAGCACTTAAAAGAGTTTTGTTACCTCATCACAACTATTACATCTGAAGTTAGCACTACCACATTTACAACTACATGATTTTTACTACCATGCTTACTGGACTACAAGGTGCACCTCTATATAAGCCACACCATCAATATTTGAAAAGAAAATACATTTTTTGCATATATAGGCTGCACTTGAATATTAGCAACAGGTTGTCTTGTTGTAGCAGATAGATGACGGTTTTACTGGTCACTCCATGATTTAATGACGAGGTGTTTAACATCAAAACCCTAAGCTTCCATAACGGTACTCAATCAACCTCTAGTATGACGTGTTCTATAGCTACTAAAACTTTAAGAGTTAAGATAATAAAAATACTAGGGCTGTCCAAAATAGCGCGTTATTAACGCGTTAACGCAAATCAATATTAATGCCGTCATTTTTTTTATCGCGCGATAAAAAAAAAAAAAATAGGACATGAAGTGGGAGATGGGGGGAGGGGTTAATAAAAAAGGCAATACAAGCAAACAGTATACAGTCATAGATATACCGAAGGTAAACAGAGAAACAGCATAGAGTATTTACATGAACAAATTTACAAAATATTTACAGATTGTTTATCATCATCATAATGACACCATGATGTTTCTATACAGTCTATGGTCTATACCCACACATACACACACACACCCACACACACACATTGAAGGGGCTTTTTGTTACCAATTATTTATTTTGTCATCCATTTATTGATGATTTTGCATCAAATGTTAGTGTGTAATATAACACTACACATTGTTTTCAATAAAAAAAGCAATTGCACACAGCACGCAAATGTGTGACTAATTTGCGATTAATCGCGAGTTAACTATGAAATTCATGCGATTAATCGCGATTAAATATTTTAATCGTTGGACAGCACTAAAAAATACATACCTAGCTGCGTCTCTATACAAGCCCCAGGGCTCAAAGAAGGCAAAAAATAGTGGCTTATATGGAAATCAAGGTGGTAAAATAAAAAATCACTTACATTCTGAACATGTTCTCCTCTCCTCTTCAGAAGCTGCATGTTTTCCTGTTCACCGAGGTGCTGGTCTTGACCCGTCCTGTGACCCGAAACGAGCGCCAGTGTTTCCAGATGTATCGCCAGCCCATCCCAGTGGCAGAGCTGCTGCTAGAGGACCTGCAGGATGGGGACGTGCGCATGGGGGGCTCCTTCAGAGGGGCCTTCAGCAACGCCGACAAAGGTACTTCATGCATCTGTGTTAGTGAAAGCCAAATATTTTATTTTGGTACAGACTGATGTAAAACTGCTTTGCATATTTAGAGCATATTTCATATCATTAATTTTCTCTTCTTTGTAATCCCAGCAAAGAACATCTTCCGCGTCCGCTCCCGGGACCCCACGCAAGCCCACTCATCGCACACGCTGCAAGTGGACGATGTGTTCCACAAGCAGCAGTGGCTGAACTGTCTGCGCGCTGCCATCTCCACGGCTTCCCCCACCTCCCCCACGCTCCGTCGCCGTCCTTCGTCCCTCTCCGCCATCGTCCACATGGAGGAAGAGCTGGAAAACCGTGGCAAACTCCAAACACAGTCTCTCCCCAGTTCACCGCGCTCCGAAACCCTCACACCTCAGCCGCCCAGAAGATCGCTGCCCACCTGCGCCACTGCCGCCTCCTCGCTTAAAAGCAAAAAGGACAAACGATCCATCTACTCCCTGGGCAAACGAAAAGAAACAATGGTGTGATTTTGCTCTTTCTTCCACGGACATTTTGTAAATATTATATCCAAGACTATTTATTTGCGTATTCTATTACACTGCCAAAAGTCACATCTTGGTGCGCTTGGAATGTAGTTGGCAATATCGTGATTTGAGTTGGTTAGACTTGTTGTGTGACCTTATCTGCCAATGAATGAGACATGTTGCACTTTGTTATATAATAAGACAGACATAACGTGCATAAATTCCTTTTCACAGCTTTTGATCATGGTATAGTAAAAGCAGCTCATTGCATTTCCACGTCACTCCCTTTACCATCCTAATCAACTCAAATAATGTACTCTCAACCATTTCACTTGGCCCTGGTGTGTTTTTGCGGTGTCCAGTGTTTGTTACTGTCCACTACTCGGCAGCTATTACTCTTTATCCTCCAGTTTGAACATGCCCGCTCCCATACGGACTCACAGACGTTGATCGGGATGCGGCGTTTTTGAATCATGTCGTTTACTTGTGATAATATTTAAAGCCTTGTGTTGTACTCATTTGTGGGATTCCTTTTACAGTTTTGTATTTTGGAAACAATGTGTAGTGTTTATGTAGCCATGCTTTTTTAGGCATTTATAATGGAAGAAATTAGAATGAAATGGTTGTAACTGCCACTCAAATGTGATTGGTTAATGGTTGGTATAAAAATCACATAAAACTTAAATGGTGAAGACTTTGGACCGCTAAGACAACTCAGATGAAAATGATTGTATGAATTCAATCACAACTTGAATGAACATATGAAATGGGGTTAGGATTAGGATTTCAGCATAGTAACATGGGCTAAGTAAGTAAGTAAGCAAGTAATCTTTATCTATATAGCGCCTTTCACACAAAGCGCTAATCCTTGTACTAGCATGTCCATTGAATGTCAATTAAGCTGAAATGTACCTTAAAATTCCTTAAAAAAACAGCTTTCATTCAAACAAGTGCCTTTTTGTCGACTAAGGGTTCGGCATTTCAATATTACCAAAGCAACCAATCCCATTTCAGTATTTGACCCGTTCAATTCAGCCAAAGAGTTTATATGGTCTTTATTGTAATACATTCCTTTATGAAAAAAATTGTGGAACCTAAAAATTGTTTTTAACATTTTTAAATCAGGTCTGAAGTTTTTGCTGAAAAAAACGTTGACTTTTTGTACAATCTGAGCCATGTTGGTTTTTAAAAAAAAAAAACAACTCCATATTCAGTGTAACATCTTGCATAGTTAGAATTGTTTGCGACAAAGGCAATGTCAGTCCGTCCGATTGTACAGAATTGGATATGGTTGAATTTGTTGTAGAAGTATGTGTTTTAAAGATGGATTTAGAGAAATGTCTTGTGAAGTTTAAAGTGTTTTAGGAAGTGAAATGAAAGAAAGTGCAGAATTTAACTTTTGCAGATTTTTGTGTGGAAAAAGTCATTTGAAATGTACGAGTTTGTAAGTAGGGGAAGAAAGAAGGTTTGGAATGTTTTATTGAATGCATTAAAATGATAGTTGGAAATGGAGCTAAAGAAAAATGATGGAGTGTCTATAGCTAAAAGCAATAAAGATGTGAGATGCATTGAAGAAATTTGTTCGAAGACGTCTCTGTGTCAATGGGAAGATCTCTAACATACATTTTATAAATGCAAAGGTGGGTACAGAAAAAAAGCGAACAATCATTCACCCTGAAAGACTAAAATGGATGTGATGAAAGTACTATGAGTTCAAATAAGGTCAAACTTTAATTAATTTTGAAAGCTCAGTTATCTGACTTAAACTACAAAGAAATTAGCTATGAAATACAATCTAAGTCTAGTTCCTCTCTCTCAAACAGTTGTGGCGTCACATGCATGTGAAATTCCTGATCTTGTCACACCTCAGAAGTTAATTGGGGCAGGACATAGAACTATACGATGGGAGGAACCCCAGGTGCTACAGTGGGACAACTGCAACTGTAAATGCAAGACACATCACTCACATTGCCTCCTATGGGTCTGGTGTCTGATTGAATGCTTGCAGGTGTTCAGAGAGGCTGGCACAGACGGGTTACCTCACTTCCATCAGTCTGTCCCAGGGCAGCTGTAGCCAAAGTAGTAGTTCATCACCACTGTGTAAGGAGTGAATGAATAATGCTAGGAAGTGTTTGAGTCTCAAAACAGAGCTTTATGCTCATGCTTTGATCTGGGAAATTCGCTTACATAATCACTAATCACTAAGATTACTCACTACTTACTTACTATTATTATTTTGTCCTGTCACATTTTTTTTACTGACAGAAAGGACCACCCAGAATATGCTCTCATTGCAAAGTGTCAAATAGTGAATCACGCAAACTATAAAAAAAAAATCTGATAAGCATGGTTTAGGTATCGGGTACCCTAAAAAAATTAGAAACCCCATCTTTAATATTAAATTTGATGATAAAGCCTTTTCTTCCAGATCTCTCGCTCCGTTTCCCTGGATATCATGTGGTAATTTTGATGTATATTTCAATGATGAGTCCTGTGCATTTGACCTCAGTACACACATTGTACAGGGGAGGACAGATTTATGGCTCTGGCTTAAGTTATGCAGAGAGAAGAAAAGCCAAGAGCAACATTTGGAAAACTCCTCTTTAAGCAGAGACATCCCAGAGCTTCCCCAGTTATTTTAGGATTAACAAAAGCACACATCGAACTGTACTGAAGCAGATTTAGATTGCAGCTAATGGAGATGGAAAGCAAATACAGGCACTGGTACAGAGCACTCAGTCTACAAACAATGACAACAATTATCCATTCTCAAACTCTTGAGAATATTTGCATTGGCATTTCATATTTTTGAATATGAAGCAAAGTCTTTGGTAGAAAACATGTTTATGATTTATTAATTTGAAAAAACCGTTTGTGAAAAACAAATTGTTCCTTAGCTTTAAAGGTAGAAATCACAATATTGCAATGATGACTGCAAACAGAAAGATATACAGCAAGTCTAAATATTATGAAACACACATATAATAGATCTCGGTATTGTTCTGACCCACTGTTATGAAACAAGTCGCTGGATGTTCATATTAAGTACTGCCGTAACGCTCTGCTCTCTGCTGACCCGAGTGAAACGTGGTCCTAACAGTAGCGCAGCATAGTGACAGTAGTCAGTGAGCATTTTCACACTATAAAATGGATGGAAAATATCTTCAGAAAAGGGAACACAATCAAAGTAAAGACAGTGAAGGTGTGGCAGTGGTCAGAGGAGCAGGGGAGGGCGTCTCAGGTGTCACAGAAATTACTCATGGGCTTTTCACACTGCAAACTTGTGTTTTCTGACACAAGTTGAAATGTTGTGTTAACCCCGGACAACTGTTGGAAACGGAGAAGGGCTATTTAGACAGCAATGTGTCACAATAAAAGATTTTTTTTCTAAAAGTTGTTTGGATTTTCTAAGATGTAGGAGCAATAATAACACAAATAATTTGTTTTGTGGTTTTTTTCTTTACCAAATGGTTAAGATGCAGTTTGATTGTAAAAGTGCCTAAAACCAAGCGCTAGAGCCAATGAAGTAAATTTCAGTTCCATGCTTCAAGTAGATATAGTGACTCAAAAAGGGATCCAACAAATGGTTGAGGAAGCCATTAAAGGGTTATAGGGCGTTCAGACCGCTGACGCTGGAATGCAGCTTCCGTGCGCACAAGACGCACATTCTCTAAATTTCAGACGCTAGGAGTGTTCAGACCAGAAGTCCTGGCCTGCGGAGGCGCCCAGCAGAGGTGCCCAGCGGAAGCGCTTTGATGCTAAAGGAGTTAAGCTAGCAGCTTTTTGTATAAAGTTCTTCTCCAAGAATGCAGCTCTGCAGCGTATCTGTCCAAAGACCTTCCAGAGACTTTATATAAAAGCAGTATGTGTTCACGGAGGTGCGCCATACGTTTATTTTATTATTAAACGGTACTTCCGCATCGGCGAACAGGCTAGCGGCACTAGTTTATCGTCACGGAAGCATGAGAACTCAGGCTGGAGGCAAATGTTCACAATCACTGTGTCCCCCATTGTCAATCTTGGTTCAGTCCTGGTGTAGCTCCTGTTTTGGCTGTTTATGAGTATTAACAGTCTGCTTGCTAGACCGCTACTTTCCCAAGGAAAAAGTTCAGCAATGTTTATCTCCTGCGTGCGTCGATTATCCTCTCCTGCGCCTCTGGCGTGCCTCTACCACGCAGTATGTGCGTTTCTACCGCGCAGTCCGCGCGTATGTCCCGAGACGCACATACAGTTCCACGCACGAACGCATGTCACCATTTACTTTGCATCTTTTTGCATTGAAAGTCGCCGCAGGATCCGGATCTGGTCTGAACGCCCCATTGAGCCTTTTAAAGTCACAGCGAAAAGTACCCAGGAATCATTACGCTGTCATTGTAGAAAGTTTTTTTTCTCGTTTGACGTCTTCACGGGACGAAGGCCGGAAAGATGGTGCAGTGGTTAGCGTTCGTGTTTCACAGCAAGAAGGTCCTGGGTTCGATTCCATCTCCAGGCCTTTCTGTGAGGAGTTTTTCTCCTCGTGTCTGCGTAGGTTTCTACCAAGTACTCCGGTTTCCCCTACCATTAAAAGCATGTTCAATAGGTCTGGCTTGCACCTCCTGTATGCAGAGTGAGAGACAAATGCCCATAACAATTGTAAAGCGCTTCGCTATCAGTGTTGGGCACGTTACTTTGAAAAAGTAATTAGTTAATATTACTAGTTACTTCTCCCAAAAAGTAACTGAGTTACTAACGGAGTTACTCCACTATAAAAGTAACTAGTTACCAGTAAAAGTAACTATTGCGTTACTTTTTCGTTTTGTTCTGGAACATAATGTGCACCCGACGTGCGCATTTTTACCTTTAACAGTGCCAATATTTCCATCTAGAAAAGGCTGTTTTGCTGCTGAAGTCCTGTTCACTCTTCATCTCTCACTGTGCTGTAAAGCCCGCCACTGTGAATGTGGAAACACCGGTGACGAGTGGCGAGGCTGGTGAAGCACTGACTTCAGTCCAATCAGATGAAC